TGGTAAGTGGTGGCTAGATAGTCGAAGTAAAAATACATATTATTTATATTGCACTAATTTAAAAGAGCCAGGAATTCCATACGATGATGTACTAAAAGCATATTCTGATAATTCGGAACTGATTCAAGAGTTAAAAACTCGATGTTTCACAATACCCATCCCTTGGAATAATGCTCTTATTTTACCAGATAAAAGCATAGTCCTGGAAGCATAGTCACTGTATGACCTTGTAAAAATCATTATAATTATTACGTATTTATCATATCAATAAAGAGTATTGCGAAGCAATGACCCTTCGGGTCTAGATCGTCAGTCTGCATCACTAAGATTCTAACGTGTCTCAACCGCGACTCAACTGAGGTATGACTTTTTTCATATAATTATATAAGAAAAATTCAACCGCGACACAACCACGACTCAACTAAAGCATTTTGTACTGAGCGATCTTAAATGAAAATAATAATTATTATAGCATATTAAATATATAAGTGGTATGATTAGTATGAACCAAAGGCTGATCGATCTACTGGCAATCATGAACGATTTACAAATAAGTACCGGTAGCTAAGCTTAATTTGATCAAAATACGAAATTACACTTTTAAGAGTTATTTTGCATTTATACGAAAAGTCTAATTTTAGAAATTATGAATAACTCTTATATAGTGATAGTTATATTTTGTATCGAATTCAGATACTTACTAGCCGACTTGAAAATTAGGGGTTTCAAAATTATAACTAAAGAACCTTAATTTATTTTTTCGATTTATAGCAAAGCTAGTGTCTTTGACACATAATTTATCGTAGTTAAAATGCTATTAAAAAATTTTACTTATTTCGAAATATACAACTTATTAATTTCGAATTTTAATTCTGAAACCCCTTAATGACCAAGGTGGTTGCTTTGATCTACGGTAAATAACCAATACAGTATTATGCTCCTTCTTGAGTTCCATAACATATTTAGTTAGTGCAATTCCAAAAACAAAGGTATTTTTATAGTCATGCCATACAATAGATAAATATAGTAATGTGATGCATATCGTGATTTTAAGCGCATTTATACTGCATGTATTGACCAATTAGTTATGAAATTTAGCAGACCTAACGTACATACGTACGTACGTACATCATTAAAAATGCCTTATAACCATACACTTCGTGAAATTTTCAGGCCCTTTAGGGGCGCCTCTTTGAGGCATATTACTCTGCCAAAAATTTCGCTGACTCGAGGTATGTGCCGACAATTTTTTTTATTCAATCGTTGTACTTAACGATCCCTTATTTAATCTAAAACTTACACAGACCGTATTTATTTTCTATTATCTAACAGTATACCAAACTGATAATAATACTGATATACGTATACTTAACTATTTATTCTTAGCTGCGAATTAGTAATAGGTGAGTAGTTTTTATATTAGATATATAATTCAGGTTGCCAATAAAAAATAGATCGAAAATATGCTAAGCTGAGATATGCCAGAAGATATGGCTAGGATTAGAATTACTACGTAGTATTAAAGCTAATTAAAAGTGACAATTAATAGCTAAAACGTTGTATGAGTCTATTAATTACACTATTTTCTATAATAAAAAGCAAATTCGATTTTGTAAATAAACTAAGTATGTGGGATAAAATTTAGGTTAGAACCTTAATGTTAGATACTATAGGGTTAGAGTAATGGTTATTATAAGTAAAATTTCATTCCTGTCATTTTCGCTTTTTTTTTACTTGTTCGAATTCTGGATGTGTACAACAGAAGTGTTTCTGGTGCCTGCTTACAGCTAAGTATAGTTTCTATTATATATTTGTAATTATCATACAGGTGAAAAAAATTTTATAGTTCAAGCAGTTAGCTATAGTTAACATACGAAATAAACTAGTTCCAAACCTTAATTAATCTTTGCTTACATAACTCTTTCGACTAACTCATATATACTTACAAGAATTTTATCGCATAAATTAATTGTAGTATAATCGATAGTGTTGCTACTGTGGGAGAGACTTGGCTAACATAGGGTCAAATTAGCTCAGTTATAAATATAGGTTATGCGAAATAGATGATTATTAGAGGATTTAGAATTAATGATAGTTCGGGCCTTACATTTATACATTTTAGTCTGCCATATTCTGAATGATAGGTTAAATTATTCATAGAATTAGTAAATAATACTCTTTTTATGTCTTTAGTGTTAGTAATAT